TACTAACTTAACAACTGCAGTGATTCACTTAAAAACTGTGGCAAGAAAGGTCGTAAAATGGGGCAAAATTCACTTGTCTTTCTTAGCAACAGAAATTTTGGACTCCATTGTGGGTCATAAGTCGAGGACAACCTGTATGAGTTGCTTATGGATAGGCTTCTACAGAGTAATTGTTATTGATATTATTTATAAATTAATTCTTTCCAACTCTTTTCCATTTAGAAACCAGTAGAATCCAACTGGCCTTATGTTGAAGATCTGCTGAAACAAGCAGTCAATAATCAAGTAAGTGTTTTAATAATAACTTGAAAATTTGATGATGGCTACTTCAAAATATAGGGACAAGGGATATAACGTATCTTATTCATTTGATTGCTTTCTGAAATTAATTTTGTAGCATGATCATTCTAGTTGAACTTCTAAACTAAGATTCTACATAGTTTCCTTCTTGCTGGAAGAATATTTTCTTAAATGGTTGGGTTTTTGAAGATAAATTGTCAGATAAAGTGCATGGTAGAGATAATTATCCTGGACGTGTTACTTGGCTCCTTTGACAAGATATATTCCAAATAAGAACAGGAAGCTTAGAAAATGTATACGGCATCTGAGGGTATCAAGTTGAGAGACGTGATAAGGGAGATAGTCTATTGCATTGAAAATTCAGCTATATCCTCATCACAGCAGGAAGGTGACTTGACTTGCTGAGCAATTTGTCTTACAGGCTTGAATCAAACTCTTACTGATAAGGTTGTAGCTTTTGAGCACTCATTTCATACCTTATCATTTTTCTTTCTGCAGAGCTGTTAATGCAATACTTTGTGGCCCAGAGGTCAGAAGTGACCTCCTTTTAAAAGTACTTTTAAGTATGCTGAAGATATTAATGTAGTTTTTTTTTGGTGTGAATTTGTTCTTGGTTGCATGATATAAAATGATAAATTAGTATCAACCATTACATAAATAATTTGTTTGAGTTGTTTTGTGTAGCTGAAGAAAGCTGGCCACATAGTCAAGCAAAAGGATTGGTTTTCCCTTTGACTTTAACTGTCAAATTACGAATTAAATTAATGAATTCAAAATTTAGTCAAGATTCCATTAATTGAAATATTATGAAGCTTCCTGTTTAAGGAAGACAATTGTATGGTGGTGGTGTTCCACTTTGTCATCTTCCCTCATAATTGTCCAACTTCTTTTCCTGTAATAATTCAAAAGGTCTATCAGCCATCGAAAACAAAGAGGAAGAAAATTGTGTGAGAATTTTAGCCCCAATTCACATTTTTAGTACCAGCAAGACTTAGCTTAGCTTAGCTTATCATAATTAAAGTGATAGGTGTAATTTTATGTATGTTTATCATAGTTTCTTTGAATTAAGTGGAATTTGCTTCTGTGACAATGAACATAACATTGGAATATATATATATTATTAGGGTTGGCAGAAAAAAAAAGAAAATATGAGTATGGTTAGGGGAAAACAATAATATTAACTGTTTATATGATGAATGAAACTGATTTTCAAACTCAAATAACCTCAAAAATGTTTTATTATTTTTATGTAGTCTTTGGAAAAATATAGGAATGGTTATTAAACCCTCTTCTCCCTCAGATTTTACTGTAAAATATAATTTCATAGCATGTAGTATTTTATTCTGAAATTTAGCTAATTTAGCTAGTCAAATTTAGCTAGTCATCACTGTCAAACTATTCACTAAGGCTGCATTACTATTAGTCTTCTCATCGTTCCTATCACCCATCTCCTCCCACTTATGACTGCATGATTGTAACTTTGTTGCTTGTATCCTTACTATTTATATTGATATTGTTTCCTGATTGCTTATTTGTATCCTATGACAGTGTGGTACCTTATGATTCTTGATGGATGTATCTTGTCTTTTTATGTACACAGAGCATATGCACCAAAGAAAATTTCCTTGTGTGTCCAATCACACTTGGCCAATAAAGAATTCTATTCTATTATAGTCTTTCTTAGTTAAAATGGTGATAGGGTAGCTTTAGTTTCTGTATGTTGCTGTGACTGATATTTGAAGAACACAAAATGTAGCTGCTTATTGGAATTGGGTAGAAACTTTCCTTGGAATTGAACTCATTACTAGTAAACATTTATTTTTAAATGGTGCCCTGGTTTTGGCCTCTTCATGTAAACAATATATGATTGTATATAAAGAAGAAATAATAGTATTTTTCTTAAGATAAGAAAACATTTGTATCAAAAAAATTGTGCTTCTATATTAAGCCAAACTTAAAAATATATATTTTTCTTTGAACCTACTGTTGTATTTTATAACCATAATTTCTAACTTATGATCAGTGAGCCGAGGTGGCGCAGTGGGTAGAGTGCAGTACTGCAGGCCACTTCAGCTGACTGCTAGATCAGCAGTTCAGCGGTTCAAATCTCACCGGCTCAGGGTTGACTAGAGCCTTCCATCCTTCCGAGGTG